AGCACACCTCGCTTTTTCAGACCGATGAGCTTTGTAAAAATCGACGCGTTTCAGAAAGGCGGGGCATAGAGGAGAAACAATAATGTACAGTATGTGGAAAATAATGTGTTTTTTGAACCTTACACCGCATAAACATTTAATTACACCAAATACACAAAATAATGTTCTTTTTAGCAACATCATATGACCCCTTTAAAAAATGTATCATGGTTTCCACAAAAAATATAAAGCAGCTCAACAGTTTTCAACTTTGTTAATAAGATACAGTATATTACTTGAACATCAAATCAGCATGTCAGATTGATTTCTGAAGGATCATGTGACACTGAAGACAGGAGAAATGGCTGCTGAAAATACAGCTGTGCTATCAGGAATAAATTACATTTTAAAATATAAAAAACTTTTTAAAGTGTAATATTTCACAATATTATTATTTTTACTGTATTTTTGATCAAATAAATGCAGCCTTAGTGAACATAAGAGACTTACCGACCCCAAACGGTTGAATGGTTGTGTTAAATTAAATAAACAAATAAATACATTTAATTTTGTAGCTATTTATTTTTATATTGATATGATTTAATACATTTTTTAAATAAATATATTTTGATTACTTGAAAATAAATTATATAGCTATAGTGCAATGTAGCTCCATGACAGCAATACATACTTTTGCTGGAAAATGCAGTCATACAATGCAAGACATAGTTTGTGTGTTTTTCTTTGTGATCTCTCATACACGTGAATAACTAACAAAACAGGCAGTTAATTCCATTGCTTTGGAATAAATGCTTAATATTTTGTATTTTAAGTACACAATATGCTACACTTTGATGCAATAAACAGCACTAGCATGTCACAGGCCCTTAGGAATTCTGCCCTTAACTTTGAAGAACAATGTTCATTCATTTACAGCACGTATCTGCCTCTAACTCATAGTGCACATGCGGGCAGTCAGACCTGCTGAGATCCACAGAAAGAGCTCCACTTTAATCATCATGACAATCTCATACCAGCCATGACGGAGGAATCCATTGCTTTTCACTATTCATTTGTGTAGCACACAGGACCTCTAGTGGCCACAGGGGGATCTCACATAGCTGTCTCTGCAATTTCACACATTTAATAATAATGCATGAGCAGAAAACGTTGCATCGATTTCAGGGTCTTAATATGCCTGACTGTATTTGATAACATAGCGATAACATAAAATGATGAATTGTACAAGAAGATATATTTTTTTTATTTTTCTAAACTTAACTGTATGTGTGTGTTCATATCTTAGGTGGTCAAGAGGAATATGTGTTGTCTTATGAGCCAGTCTGTCAGCAGGAAGGTAAAATGCTAATGATTGTCTGTATATCAGCAACATTAACCCATGAGATTTCACATCAATGATTCTTTTTAGGAGAATGGGACTGATTTCATGAATGGTCTTTCCACAGTGAACTACTCACGACCAGTGATTATCTTGGGTCCGATGAAAGACAGAGTAAACGATGACCTGATCTCGGAGTTCCCTGACAAATTTGGTTCCTGTGTTCCTCGTAAGTATCTGTACACTGTATGAACTGATTAGATAACATGATGAGGGACACATTATTCCAGTGGCTACAGTGGAAATTACAGTGTAGTTTGCAAGCATGTCAAATAAAAAGCCAGGTCAGACTGCATTGACATGGTTGAATATCTTTTTCTTTTTTTTTTGAGATTTGAATAGATGAATTCCTCTAGTAAGTGATGTAAATTATTATTCACAGGGGTCTGTTTGATAGGGCTGCACAATGAATTTGACCATATGGTTTAGTGAGGTTATTTAACTGTGAATAACTATTATTTAATTAAGAGTAAGCAGGTGCTGTGCCCTTCAAAATGTAATAGACTCAGACCATTAATGGTGCAGTTTGAATAAAATGGGCCTTAATAATACAGAAACAACCCATGTTCTCTTTATTTTAAAACTTTCACAGTTCCAATATTTTTGAATTTTATATGTTCAAACAAACAGGTAGAAATCCAATGTACTGATACAGCTTACAAAAAAAGTCAGAGGTTCTTAACCAGGTGACCAAAGCAAAATACCACTTAAAAAGATTTAAAATAAGCCAAAACAAGCATTAAAATAAGCCAAATCCAGATATTCATTTTTCTAGTTATGACAAACTCTAAAAAAAAAAATGTAATCGGGTAGAGGTTGTGAGTAAAAAATACTTTCAAAAATCCTCCTCCTAATCCTTATTGAGTAAATCTTGAAAAACTGGAAAAGTCATAGGGCCTTCAAATATTGCTGCACAGAATAAACATAGATACAGCACCTATCAGGATTTAATGCTTTATGCATTTGTTCAAATGCACATATACATATTGTATTTGAAACTACAAATCTGCAAACACTTGTAAACTAAATTTAGTAGATCTACTACAACCATGGGTTTAGTACAGAAATTAAGCCTGTAGCATATGCTGCTCTCTGTCTCAGATACAACAAGGCCGAAGCGAGATTATGAGGTGGATGGGAGAGACTACCACTTTGTTGTGTCCAGAGAGCAGATGGAGAGAGATATACAGGAGCACAAGTTCATCGAGGCAGGCCAGTACAACAGTCACCTGTATGGAACCAGTGTGCAGTCTGTCAGAGAGGTGGCGGAAAAGGTGAGATCCAGATTTATTTCTCACCATAAGAAGTGTTTTATACATACATTACATATACCAGGCAAAAAAAAAGGTTTGAATGTCATTACACAATGTTTACATAAGGGGTTATTGAGGAGCTTAGCATTGTTTCTGGAGAAATAGGCACGATATGCATGATACATCTGCTGACAACACAGGACTATAATGCATACTATGCATCCTTATTTCTTACTGTATGGAAACCCTGTCTTTGGTGCTCTCCTCAGGGCAAACATTGCATTCTAGATGTATCAGGCAACGCCATAAAAAGACTGCAAGTGGCTGTGCTTTACCCCATCGCTATTTTCATCAAACCAAAATCAATGGAGAACATCATGTGAGTAAAAGACAAGGCATCAGACTAGCATTTACAAAGAAGATCATTGTCTATTAACAATGTCACGCTATCAATGACTAATACATTTTCAGAGTGCTGATGGAATAGGTGGGATATCTATTGGAGTCTTCCACTCTACCGTATTTGTCATATGTTGTAAACAGTACCCAGTCAAACTCTTTGGGGCACAGTTGAATCTATTTATTTCTCAAAATAGTTTAGTATGCAAGGATCACTAATGCATATAAGTTTTTTTCTGTCCCCTGCAAGCACTGTAAAATAAAACAGTGCTGTAATGCTCTTTGCTCTCTCCTCAGGGAGATGAATAAAAGACTGACAGAGGAACAAGGCAGGAAGACATACGACAGAGCCATGAAGCTGGAACAGGAGTTCATGGAGCACTTCACAGGTCTGTTTGCTCAATCTGTCTGTGACTCTGATATAGGCATCAAGACAACAGCTAACCCCGACTCACATTTCTGATTTTACAATACATTATATACGTAGCAATGACAAGGTCGGGGTAACACAGGAATTTTGATGTTTGTTTTGGACCCTTGTCCTGATTGATGATCCAACCATCCAACCAATTATAAGATTTCCAGCAGAGGCAGTCAGGTTTAGATTTTTTCTCTATTGGTATTTGATCAAATCCATGAAGCCATGTATCTGAACAAGATGTCCAGAGCCGTTTTGGTTTCATCTGACTATGGAACGCTGTCTTGTTTTAAGTTCCAGTAGTGTCTGGCAACTGAACATGCTGGAATTTGATTTTGGGTGAGAGCACAGGATTATTATTTTTTTCTTCTTGAAACCCTCCCGAGCAACTTGTGGTTATGTACGTAGGTGCTGTTTGATATTTTCTGAGGCTTTCTGACCCCAAGACTCTTAACTAATTTCTGCAATTCATCAGCTGTGATCCTTGGAGAATCTTTGGCAACTCAAACGATCCTTTTCGCCGTGCATTAAGACAACATAAACACACGTCCACTTCTGGGATGATTTTTAACATCTCCAGTTGATTAGAACTTCTTCATTTTTCAACTGACTAACAAAATTGTTGCCTATTGTAGAACTGCAAATAGCTAATCAATTAGCTTCACACTGTATTTGATCTGAACTGACTAGAGCTGCTTTACAGCAGAATCTCAACTGTCTCAATAGCCGATTTTCCATAATTGCTTCTGCTATTTCCTGTTCATCTCTATGAAGCTGCTTTGACACAGTCTGTATTGTATAGAGCACTAAGGAAATAAAGGTGACTTTTCCCTGATGGTAAACATTGGAATTTTCAGTGCTTTACATATTTTCTTACAGCCAATTTCTATTTTGTGAAGCTCAAAAATCTTGGGTTGTCTATATTATATAATTTATTAGGTGTTTTATTCTTGTCACCGCTGTCACCTCACTGTGATCATCTCTGCATTGCAGCTGTTGTTCAAGGAGACACTTTGGAAGAGATCTACGATCAAGTCAAGCAGATAATTGAGGAACAGTCTGGGCCATACATATGGGTACAGTCCAAGGAGAAACTATGAACGCCTTCAGGAGTTTACCATCCCCCTTTCTCTGCCTGGTTTATTTATTGATTCTGTTTTTTTTTTTTGTTTGTTTTTTGGTAATCTCAGTTGGGCTTCTGCAGATGACAGAATTCACTCAACAGATTAATTCCTTAATCCAGCATACTTCAATCTCTGTTCAGTCCAATATCTTCACCTCCTACTTCTAGTTCCTCAGTAGCTATTTCAAGAGAAGATGATCTGTCCTCATCAGATCTTTACTGCTTCCATGCTTACAGAAAGCAAAGCTATGCCAGACCAGCATCTGTTTACCAGGGGTTTGGAAACGGTACAGTTCCTTAATGTTTAAGGGAGGTTACTTTGTAAGGACAAAGACAGCGATCTGGATTTTCTGACACGTCTCTTTCATTTTACCCATTTTATTCCGTGTTCTTTTCATGTAAATGGTAACATGGAGCTCAAGTCTCAGGCATCGGATTCACTAAAATGGTGAGAAACACAAAAAAAGCAAAACTTTGCACGTTGTAGCTTCTAAGACCAGGAGTTCTTTCATCCTCTCATTGTTCATTTCCACCATAGTCCTGTATGTTCCACACATTCTTTGTTGTTGAATTACTTCTTTTTACTTCTCCCTTGACTTGCATTGGCATGCTTATTGTTCTCCTCATTCTGATCGTCTGCGTTATGGAGCCATTGTGTTTAGATGATGTCCCGCTGCACGGATCCGAGACGTGTTGCCGCCACTGTTAGAATGTCGGAGTCTACAACAGTGTCTTACAGAGTACGTGTTTTCAACACTTTGATTTACATTTAGGAAAGTCTGCCATTTATAAGTAACTTGATATTTTTAAGAGGCAATAAAATGTCACCGCATATGTGGAAGAAATTTATTATACAATGAGATCTTAACAGATATTTAACCCTCCATAAACTGCCTATTTTGTTATAATAAAAGTCTATATTGAGCTTTACTTCAGCACTATTATGATGGGAGTTCTTTTCTTGACATCGTAAAATGTATATTGGAGCAAGAGATTTAGAAAGAAGAAAGAAATAGTATGAATATATATTTTTTCCTGTTTTCTGTTACCACCCTTTATTTTCCTAAACTGAAACAAATGACAAGATGCAGGGCAGTGAGGGGAATGTGGAGAAAACAGAGCCTAGCACATGATTAACACAATATTTGAAGCTAGTTCTGTCTCTTCCTCCTCTCTGCCCACCATTTCAACATAGTCTGCTCCAAGTGTGCTACATAAGAGTCGTTATGTGTGAAGAAGAACGTTCTATCCATCCCCCCTCTCAGACACAACCCGTCTCAGCTGGAAGAAGAGCTTCACAGGGCTGACGAAGCTTTGGCGCTGGGCTGATGTTGTCCAGCTAGAAGCTCCACAGAGATTTCTTCTTTCTAAACCTGTGCTTGCCTGCTCTTCCTTTGACATGATTGTTTTGTATACTAAGACTGCTTGTTCTACCACCTCACCAACTCAGCGTTTTGGAGACATTTTGGGACTGGAAAAACAGAAACATGTAAATAACCTACTTATCTGATTCATTCCATTGATCAAAACGAACAAGAGAATGGCTAATTCAAGAAAAAATAAAACAAAATCTTTCTCATACAGCACAGTGCTGGTGCGAGTCTTCCTTCAGATGGAGGGCTTAAGTATATCTATAAGGTGTGACATTTGCACGCATTATTCTGTCTAGCTGTACACATCAATCCACTTCTGAAAAGTTGTCATTGATTATGGCACAGCTGTTGTTTTGTGAGGCCATTTCTGGCACCTTAAAGGGATAGTTGACTCCGATTTAAATTCTGTCATCATTTACTCATCCTCATGTCATTCCAAACCTGTATGATTTACTTTCGCCTGTGGAAAATTAAAGATATTTTTAGATTTTTTTTGAGAACACATTCATACTGTATAATAGAAGTCAATGGCCACTAAAACTGTTAGGTTACCGACATTCTTCCAAATATTTTAATTTCAAATAAGAACGTTAAGTACTATAGGTTTGAATCGACATGAGGGTGAGTAAATGATGACAGAACTTTCCAACACACTCTCATGACATTTCGTGACTATTTTACGTGATGGTTAAATTCAGGGCTGTCCAACCCTGCTCCTGGATAGCTGTAGTCCTGCAAAGTTCAGCTCAGACTGTAATCAAATACACCTGAACCAGCTAATCAAGGTGTTCAAGGTAATCTGAAAATTACAGGCAGGTGTGTTGGAGCAGGGTTGGAACTGAAGTCTACAGGACAGTAGCTCTCCAGGTGCAGAGTTGGAGAGCCCTGGGCTAATTCAAATGAATTTGTATGATCTGCTTACTCCCCACTGATGGTTTGGGTGGGGTGGACCTACTTGCTTTTTTTTTTCTAAAAAAATTTCATGTTTTCATATGAATCGTATGTATTATAGCCACCTCATAAAATAGTCACACTTTATTCTGGTTAAATTTTTGGGTTGGAATTTTTATTTTTGGGTGAAAAAATGTTTACAGCGTCAACCACATAATTGTAATTCTGTGTAAAAAAAACATAGTGAAGAACAGTAAAACGTTCCAATGCTTGTTTTTACAAATATCAGCACTATTGAAAAGCCTGTCCAATTAAATCAAATTTGTGAAATGTACATTTTTTTTTTTTTTAGGTATTAGCTTCTGAAGATACAGTACCTTGCAAAAATATTCATACCCCTTCATTTTTTTCACATTTTGTTAAGTTGCTGCCTTATGCTAAACTGCTTTAAATTACTTTTTTCCCACATCAATCTACACTCACTACACCATAATGGTAAAGCAAAAAACAGGTTTTTAACATCTTTGCAAATTTATTAAAAATAAAAAACTTAAATGATTCCATTGCATAAGTATTCATACCCTTATCTGGGA